GGGGAACAGATGGACTATTGTTGTTAAGTACTGTTGCATCACTCCATTGATAAACTAACAACATGTTAACTACTGTACATTGTTCTACTAATCCCTCTAAATGTAAATGCAACACTATATGTGGTGATATATTGCAAGTGTTCCTAATGGAAAATTGAGCCCCTGTCTTATTTGCATAGACAATTGACTGTAAGTATAATGGACTGTCACAATGAGATATTTCCAGGACAGCTACTTTAGCTTATAATAGGGAAAAGGTCAGCTGTCAAAAACATCATTGTTCAAGAGTCATACAAGGAGAAACCTCTTATGTTTAAAACAACAGCCACAAAAGCCCAGACAAGACAGACACTTGATCGGTTACATTTTGTGACCCTCTCTTGACCGCTGTGATAGCTATTTCTATTGTCTTCTCTCCACACTTACATGTGAAAAGGTAAAACATCTGATGATATTATCCAATGAAGGTTAAAGTCAAGGGCAACTGGACTTGGTTGAAGATACTGGAAGACGTTTCGTCCCTCATCCAAAGGACTTCTTCAGTTCTGACTGACTGGCAGGGAAACTCAGCTATTTAACCTCAGTGGGGTCGTTATCCCGGGTCATCGATACTGCTGGTTCGTTAGTGGTCCTGGTTGCTGTGACGACAGTCGTTAGGACTACCGGTGGCCAAGACTGAACGACCATCGTTGGTATCTTCACCTGAGGCCAATAGGTTACGTTTGTTGAGTTTACTGGGAAGTGATGAAAGGACAGCATTGTAAGTGGGGGATTAGTGGTGGCGTAGACCCCTTCCTCTTGTTGTCTTGCCAGTCAGTCAGAACTGAATTAGTCCTTTGGATGAGGGACGAAACATCTTCCAGTATCTTCAACCAAGTCCAGTGGCCCTTGACTTTAACCTTCGTTGGATAACTATGACCTGGATGACTGAGAATCTTCATAGACATCTGATGATATTGTGATTTAGTGTATGCATGGTACATTTTCCCATCTTCAACAATTTGTAAAACAATCACACTCGCAAATACACAGTATTACCTGAACATGAAAAAAAAAACAAGACCAAGAGTAGTCCTAAACAAGTAGAGCTGAGGTTGATGGGAGTGTCATAGGTTTTGCAGGTATTTAACAAGGATTAGACAAATTGACCTGATGATGGTGCTTAATGAAAAGTTAAGGGATCGCCAAAGTTATTACAACTCATGCTGAGGGGATCTGAATGCATGTACTAAATGTCATGGCAAGACATGCAATAATTGGTGAGATATTTGACTCAAAACACCAAATGGGAATCTCATGGTGGCGCCAGAGGAAAAGGCAGGGATCACCAAAGTCATTAGGCTTCATTGTCTGGGGACCATAAATGATTGTACGACATTTAATGGCAACAGGTGTTGAATTATCTCAGTCTGGAACAAAGTGGTGACCGACATTGCCATCCCATGAGCCATGCATAGCTAAAAACATCAAGCCATTGCTCTTTTGCAGATTTTAAAGATATTTGATATATTAATATTGATATTTTTTACGAGACTCACATATTCTGCCCACAGAATCCCACCTCTCCTCCCACAGTGGACAGTACAGATGGTAGAGTCATTGCAACTTTCATTTTTTTTTTTAAGAGAGACATATAGCGGACAAGGCAGATGGCAAGAAAAACAAAAATACCTATTTTATAACTCCTACTACATTAGGCACTCATCAGTGTTAGAAAGAAGCCACACCAATACATTGTGCACAGATAGAATAGTCTACTAATTTATTGTTTTTGTCCTTCTTGAACTAATAAATGTGCTGCACTCACATGTACAGCAATTGTTGGCTAAAAAAAACAAATCATTTTTAATTTCGGGAAGGAAATTGCCACTTGTATCAACAACACATGCCATGGATATGTTAAATATCACCTGATATCCCACGTCGAGGGGAGCTGGGGAGCTGGTGAGAGATGTTAGCAGACATCCACACTGGTTGTGCTGCATTACACATGCTGGTCTGCTGTCCTCATAATCTCCACGCCATCTGGTGGGGTCTGTCCCCCTGCACCTCTGGCACATTAGTATTCCTCTCACATTGAGCGAGGGAGACCAGCGTGTGTGCAACATTTCTCAGAAACATAAAAGAGCCAGCACCAGTGAGGATTAATCAAACGGCTACATGTCCCACCTCCTACAAACCTGGCTTATTTCAGGTAATGAGAACACTTACTTTTTAATCTTCTACACTTGCTTGTGTGCATTGCAGCCCCCTCACTAAGTCAGCATCCTCTTGTGTTGTCCACAAATGGACCCACAGTTGTGACTTCACGCCTTTCTTAAGCATGGGCTAAGAAGTTCCATTGAACGTAAATCCTTTCATGTTCTTGAACAAATGTCCTCCTTTGGAAAATGTCTAGCTCTATTTGATCCCTAATAAAGGCCTCAACAATGACATCAGTAATATGTTTGACTGAGCCTTGGCTGTGGCTTGTTGTCCCTTTCTGTGTCTTCATTACAGTAACAACTACAGTTCACCAAGTCACCATTGCTTCAGGCAGGTCTTCTCTGGTTCCTTGGCTCACATTTTCAGCAAGAGAACCCAGTCAGCAAACAGCCACATTGGGAGTCTTTCGAGCGGCGCTTCAAACAGTGTTTGCAGCGTTTAATGCGAGCTGTGATCAAAGACTGACCCATTCCTTTTCAAATCCACATGGCCTCTCATTAGTGCCACATTAGGAAGAGCCTTCTCTGACAGGAATCTATCGCAGTATCACCATTTCCGCGTTTTGAATTTAACTGCAATACAAAGCTGTTTAGGATGAATGTGTCGTACTTTATGAAGTGCTTGTTGTTAAAGTAAGGAGATCAGTTAAGAAGACTAGTTAAACCTGCAATGACTTATTTTTTTGAAGTTGTTAACACAACATTGACTTTTAAGTTGATATAGCGAGTTAGAAAACAGTTAATTATTTACACATCCAGCAGTTATGGAGCTACAATATCATTCATTTGGAGTCCTGTTTAATGATCACCTGGTGACTGTATGTCCAATATTCACTCTCTTTTAGCTCTGCTTTGGTCTCTTCCAACTCCTGAGGGAAGTTTATGGCTCCCTAGCTGCTAAATGCTCCACTGTGTTAACCAGCTAGGTGATTGCAGTGTCTGTCTGCCATTGGATGTTGAGCAGGTAGTGTGCTTGTAGAGCTTTTATACTTAAAACACTGCCCTGTTGCAGGTGAAAATGACACTATGAGAGGGATGGGAGTGAACCAAAACAGTTTAAGTTGCAGGCCTGACAGCTAAACAATGAGCTGAAACTCTTCATAAAGCTCTGTAAATTCAGTTTCAGATTCATCACTGTGAGCAACCCCACATTGTCATTTGATATTATATTCAAGGAAAGCAATGACAAGGTTTGGAGTTTTTACGTGGTAAGCAACATGACAATTGGGAGTTTTCCATTGAGCAATGGTACCCGGTGTTAAATGCTTTCATTTCTTGTCAAAAGGCTGAGATGTCTACAAATCATTTAACCACTATACATTTTCTTAATAGCTTTTGAAAAAGGCCATATCTTACACTGTGATTAATAAATAAAACACTTTTGGAAGCAAACATTAAACAGCAGTAGGGGCAGTATCACAGAGGCGAGTGCACATAAAGGTCTGAGATTTTGGAAAGGAAGGAAATGTGGAACATTTTATGTCCCATGTGTAAAAATGTGGACCCACATTCGTTATGTTCAGTTGGATCAATTCTTTATTTGTTATTGTATAATGTGGGACAAAGACATGTTCAAATATTAACTCTTCTCCACTTATTTATCCAGATCTTTCCTTGAATTTTGCACTTGTCTGTGTGCACACCTTCCCTTTGTTGTCTTGCACTGCAGGGTGAATACAGTGTGTAAATCTGTAAACATCTGAAAATTCTGTGAAACGCGTGCTGAATTCTGTCCAGCCAACAGTCACTGTATGTATTTAAAACCCTAAATATTTTCTATTTAAGGTAATTTTATCTTTCCTTTGCAGCTGCCTTGGCTGAATTCCCCCTCAGGGATCAATGAAGTTCATTTTAATCTTTATAAAAACCTTCTTATAGACTCAAGATAGTTTTATTCTGCAGAGCAATGATGAAGAAATCTCAGTAATACCCATTTTGTAGTCCCGTACAACTTACCTTGCCAGCAGTCATTGCAAACCTAAAAGGGAGGAAACGCAGATATACTGAACATGACATAAAAGAGGCATAAATAAAGAATTGTACTTGGCTCGTAAGCTGCTGTGCTTCATTTCCATCCAGAAACCTCATGGCCATTGTTATAATTCAAAACAGTGAAGCTGATCTTTTGTGTTTATAGCCTATGGATACAGTATAAATTGCATCATGGGAAATAATGACTATAGACTGAAATACCCTTTTCTTGTGCTAGTGCTCCATCTCCAAACCATCAACCATTATGCTCTGCTCATTTTTTTAACCTTCATTGTGAGATGTGTGTTGAAACTTCTTTTCCCTAAACTTGAGAATAAAAGAGAGAAGATGATTTTAGGGGAGTGCTTTCTTTTAGACTGTCTTTACCCTCGTTAATACCAGTGGACCCCCTGCCAACACGCACACATACACACACACACACACACACACACACACACGCGCACATGCACGCACGCACACACACACACACACACACACCCACACCTGAAGAACAGCTATCTTCTGTATATCTGAAGCAAAAATAATGAGCTACACTTAATTGGAGTTGCTGTTTTTAGGGTTAGGGGATGGCTAAACAGGTGCATGATTAAAGTGCTTTCTACAAGTTTTTTGCCACGAAGATAAAGGGAAACCTCTGATTACATTTTTCCTAACTGTGGCATATTTTACGTTAGATGTGATTTGCACATCTTTTCGTATTTATATAGATATTTTTGTAAATGAAAGACAAACGCAAGCACAGACATTCTTCCGATCATGTGGCAAAAATGGAGAACAAAGCCCTTTGTTAACACTGTTGTCTTATCTTTATTTTGTCACAATTGTAGTCAAATATATATACGTCTATATGACATATATTATATGACATATATAATTTCATTTCTTTACAATAGAGAAACAACATAGAGATGACACACTATTTTGGTTTCTAAGTAGGAGCTCCTTTTAAATAGTGGCATTTTTTAAAAAATACACTGTTTAAGTCAAGCTCCCACTCCAGTCACGGTTTTGTTATCCTTATTGAGTCACATTTATTCACAATGTGTGTTTGTTTGTCTCTTTTTCTTTAGTATTTCATGTCTTTTGTGTCAATATTTTTTCCCTCGGCAGTTCAATCTGTTCATGTTCCTTCAAAACCGACGGCCATCTGTTATTGGTCCGTGTGGCCACACAGATGGTTCCACCTGCTAACCATCCTGTGCCACCAGCAAAGGTATACAGATATTGGAAACAGTGTCTTTGAAGCTTTACAGAGTTAATCCAATCAGCTTGCAGAAGGCTTGGCATAAGCATTTCCAGTTCCTCTGCAGCTGGGTCCTTTGGTGGCCAAGGAGCAGTTTGCACCTCCGTACACAAGAGATGTCTGACCTTGGCACTGTCCCTGGGCATCTCTTTGGCCTGCTGCCTTCAAACCTCTGGTCCCACTGCCTGTGTGCAGAACTCTGGGTGAATATTGGACACTTTTCCCTCCTGACTCCTGCACAGTCCCAGCCTCGAGAGTGTTTGTGCCACCGCGGCGGATCTCGCTGTGAGACCCAGACATTTTCATGGTGCTGGGAAGGCTTTTCTGTTTTAATTCCTGCGCGAGTTCCACTGTAATTTCGATGAAGCAGGGTGTTTGTGTGGAGCTGAGATTCCCCTCCGAGCCCAGTGTTACAGTAGTAGTGGCAGGAGGGCTTACACTGCTGGGCATAACACCAGGTGCCAGCACAACAGTCTCATAGCGGGGAGAACTGCTAACAGGCACCGCTGTCTTTCCAGCCAGCACGGGGTGCCACTTCAGGAGCCCCTTATGGTTCCGGTCACTCGTTTCCACATTCCCGGCCTCAAGGTCACACGCTTGGAGTGAAGGGATGATGGGCACAGAACGGGTGCGCAAGGAGGGTGGAAGGAAGGATCCCTTATCCAGGCGGGTGCAGGGGACCTCAGCCCATCCCTTTCTGGCTGCGAAGTGAGAGAGTGAGGTCCTGCTGAGGAGGGCACCGACTCTTCCACTTGCAAAATCACACCTTTAGACAGAAGAGAGAATAGAAATGGCAGTGTGAGAATGAGAGACCAAGTCGTTTATACTGTGACCTTTTTGTCGTAGACACCACGGAATAAAAGAGAGTGAGTAATATAGAATATGAAGATAAAGCTGCCATTCCTTTGTGCTATTTACCATTTCATTCCCTTGACTGTTTTATACACTTCCACAAAAAACAAAACAATTGTTAGTATTTTTGTATTGTTATTTTATAATCTTGTGTAATTATTTATAATCCTTGGCATGAGTGGTCCTCATTGTTGTTGTATGAATGTTTAATTGAAAAATCCCTTCTCTCATTTCGGTTTTTGAATTACACAATCTCACAGAACACACCTTGTCTGACAGGCTTATAATGAGACATTTGGGGTGAATGTAGGGGTTGGGGGGGGTCTCAGCATATATGTTTGCATCCGGCAATCAAGCTTCTCGAATGAGGGAATCAGGGGGGGATTGGCCATCGTGAAATTTGGGAACATTCCCGACTGGCCGGTCCATTTCGGGCCAAACCGGCCGGTGTTCAAGAGTTTTTATTTTTCAATTTCTTATGTTCAACTTTAAACGATCCGTGACCACGCCATATGGGAGGTCAGCTGCAGTGAGCACTGTCTGTGTCTGTAAGACTGGGCCAAACTAATACTTTCAATTTTGAGGGGGGGATACGACAGGCCCCTCCCAACTTGGACCGATCCTCATTTTTTCTGAAATCTGATTGGCTCAATGGTGCTAATGAAAGGAGTTTACTTTCCATCTGGGAGTTTAATCTCAATAGCCTATGTTTTGTCCGAGATGAACTCAGCCCAGGGTTGTGTGACAAGCACAAACAGTGACAGGTACAGTGTCAGTGTGCAGGGCTAGGCAATAATATTATGCGTAGATAGAATTAGAAAAATGGATTATGGTTAGTAATATTTATTACTGATGTTCTTCTTGTGCTGTAAAATCAGTACAAGCAGAGTCAGGTTCCAGCACAGAGGAGCTGAGCCAGAGATAGGCCTGCTCAGAGCTGAAGCTGAGGGATTTCATTTTTATGCACACACATACATCCTGCTCTATTTTATGGGACTGCATTGAAGTTTTTGATTATATCTAACTATTTTTGCACTCTGACTGAGTCAGGCTTGCCTGACCTGGTCTTGTTCAGTGCAATAGTGACTTGCTTATATAAACTTAAAAGGCAGACGTTATCCTAAAGTTTCTTGTAGGTCCTCATCATAATCTGATTGACTGTATATATATATATATATATATATATATATATATATATATGTACAACATTAATATGTATTAAAATAACTGCAAAAAAATCTGTCACCGCGCCCCCACATGGCGTTCGCATAAAAGGCCTCTCCGTCTCAAAGTCCCAGGCTGAATTTCAGTTCCAGTACATCCCTGGAGGGAAGTATCACAAAATGGTGTTGACGAGCTTGAGAGGGATCATGTTTCGTATGAAAATAATACAGCAGAGCTGGGCAATGTATCCAGAGTCAAGTGGGTAGGGTCTGTATATGCGACAAAATTTGCACAAGAGTTAATATTGTTACTAAAGACTCAATTCACATTTAGAATAACCCCGGCACAGCCTTAGGAGACATCCAGTGTTATTGTCAGCCTTCAGAGACAGTTTGTAGCATAACCAAGTTTAAATAATTGAATTACTTTCCCACTCCTCCCTAGGTATTAGAAGGGCAAATGCAAGCTGGAGGTAAATCCGGCAGATCAAAACATATCTAAAAATAACTCCCACAGCAAATTTGTCTTCAGTTCTGTCCTTATCTGCGATGGGTAAATATATGTTTTGACACTGGATAATGAAATGACAATACTCTGCGGGGATTTGTTGTCACAAAATGGAAAACACTGAAGAGTATTCTCGTGTTTGCTTGCTGTTCTCGCCTCTTTCTTTTTTTCTTTTTTTTTTTAAAACACTTTCTACCACACTGCACTCTGTGCCTCCATCTTTCCTTCGCTGCACTCTCATCATCTTCCTTCTTTCCTCGCTCGTTCTCTCACTCTCCTTTCCACCTCCCATTTCTCATTTCCAGAGATGAGAGGGTGTATCCATGGCAACAAGGGAGAGGTGGGGGCTGGAGGAGGAGGAAGAGGGGGCTGTAAAGCTTGGTAGCTTGTTATTGTATGGCTGGTAAGTCAAGAAAAAGACGTCATTTCAAGCCCCTGAAAGCCAGTGAAATATACTGGACTGATGGATCTGCAAGGGAATTATCAATGGCTAATGAGATCTAAATTCTTTAACTGTACAAATGCAATCTTATCCCAAAGAAGATGAGAAGCCCTTTTATTCTAGCTCTCCCCCTGAATACTTGAAAAAGCTGTGTTAGCTTATAGCTTACAGATTTTGCCTTTGTGATTTTAAAAAAGAAGTCTTGTTAGCTTCTCTATTAGTTTGTTTATTTGTTATTCTGTGTGTGCATGTGTGCTCATGAATGTGTGTGTCTGTGTGTGTGAGGGAATCTGTTATGCTCCTGGAGGATCTCTCTGCACAATCATTTTGCAAGAACTGCTGAGCTCCATGGAGCTTTGTTTAAAAATGTAAATTATGGAAATAGGTCACATAAAAAGTTTGGCAGCTTGCAGTGTATCTTAGTCACTGTAACGCTCAATCACGTTGGCATGCTAATAGGAACATTGCTAGGCACTTTTAAGTGTGCCGAATCCACGAGGGACACTATTGCTTTAATGACAGACGTTTCTGAAAACAGTGCCATCGCTCAAGTTGAACACACTGACAGCAAATTAGGCTGTTTCTGACTCATATGCTAAATAGTACTGCCTTACTCAGGCTTAAAGATGCTTCTGCTCTTCTGCATCTGTAAATAAAATAATAGAATTTTTTTAGTGTTTCTTGTTTAAGAGAAAATGCCTGTGGAGCCTCTTGACATTATGCATTATTCTTCTTACAAAAACAAGCACCTCAGTGAATAGTGTAAGGCAAGTATTCTCCAGATTTGAGGAAAAAGTTTTAACCCATGTGAAATAATGTGCTATTTTGTTTCTACAGGCTACCTTTTTGAACCCATGCCAGTGAGGAGCATCAGACTGTACTTCTAAAATGTGTAAGTTATTTTAAGGCCCCAGAGAACCAACTGGCGAGAGGCGGGTCTGCCAAAAGTCCTCCTTGCTTTTAATGCCTCCTGAAACGGCGCCAGTAGCTGTGCTTCACTTATGATAGCCATGAAAATAGGGCAACTCGCTGTCCTTACTCGACATCGGGATGAGCATGAGGAGAATTCAGGATGTCTAAATGCCTGAAATGAATCCTGTGAAATGTGTGGTCTTGTTCTAGAAAGCCACAGTCACCCAATATGGCTCCATATATGACTTATAAAAGAAAGAAAGATGTAATTATTTATTTAATACGTGAACCATGAAACATTCACATAATGCTCAAGCATTAGCCAAAAGCAAAACATTCTGTTCATTGAAATTCATGTGAACAAGTGCATCATCTGGTAATTACCTTTGACTCTGTTGTTGTATTTTTAACCCTGATAAAACCATGCATATAAAACACATTTTAATTCACAGCAACTGCCCACTGGTAAGTGAAGGAGGATTACACACACAGACCCATATCTCGGACTTCCCCAGCACCTTGATACTGTTGAGCGGCTGGGATCAAGTATGTTCTCCAAATTAATTGTGACAGTCCCAGTTGAAGGAGGGCACAGCAGATCTCATTTATTTCCCTGGATCAGATTTCATAAGCTAGTTCACGGATTTGAACTGAGAGCATTTCAGTCTATAAACTCATTTCACCTAAAATTATCCTGCTGCCACTCCAACTTAACCTCAGTTAGTCTGGGGGTCTGTATCACTGAACGGGCTATTTGACCTCAGCTTAGAGAAGGGCAGAAGAGAATTTCCTCTTTGAGGATCAAACAAACATGACAAAACTGTTAAAAAAAGTTTTACCTTCTCATGGACTCCACGTCTTTTGACTCATCCTCCTGCAAGTGTTTGTAGACATGGCCAGCCACTCTGGATCCATCGATAAGATTTGTCGTTATTTTGTGTTTCCCCCTGGAAATGGGTGGGGTCCTGAAGTAGTTAGTCTCCCTCTGTTGTTGGGCAGGACTGAGTGAAAGGGAGCTACTCCTGTAACCAGAAAGGAAACCAATCACTTATTAATTTATTGTATCAAATCATCTCCTTTGTTCATTAATTTAAAATGGACTGGAATGGACTGACCTTTTTATTTGATGTTTAAGTGTCAGAAAGCATCATTCTACATTCAGCTGACTCTGTATAAATGACCTTGGTTTTGAAGTCTATGCGACAATGGGGTATCAGATTCATGTGAAAAGAACTGTAATTTACATATGATATACATAAACATTAAATGATTTGTTATGAAATTTGCCATACAGCAAACAGAGGAGAAAATAAATTGTGGTTGAAGAGTCTACAGCTATGCTAGCAGTACTGGGAGGATGTACTGGTGCTTTGAGCTTAAACATCAGCATGCTACTGTAGGATGCTCACAGGGACAGTGCTAACATTCTGGTAATATCTTGAAGGTAATATTTACTAGGTTCACTAGTTTAGGTTGTCAGATGCTACCATACCAGCTAGACCATATTCATGTATTTATATGCTGGTATATACACGGTGATATTTCTTATACCCACATGTAAATGACCAGTATGTATTGACATCCTGCTGCTGTTGAGGATTGAAGTGGCGCTCTTTAGAAACTGTGTTGCCTGCCTATGCACACTGTAAATTTCTCTGTGGGCAGTGGGTGGTCGACTTCAAAGCAGATCCCTGTATGTCTGCTCCAATAAAGCAATGACATGCAATGTGAATCAAAGTTATACTGCTCCATATTGCAAGCTAGTGTGTGTACATATTGTGCAAGATGCAAATCCACAGCATATGTTAAATAAATTTCTGTTTATCTGAACACACTTCAGCACCCTAGTTGAGCCCCTGCTACTGTTTCTTTTGTGAGCAATAGGTCACTTGATTGTGAACCACAAAAACAACTTATGGCATATCATTACTGCTTAGTGAAAAGTTGGTTTGTATTAAAGCAGTAAACACAAATCAGCGACAAATGATCTCCCAGCTTGATTTTTGCTTTTGAATAATTTGGCATTGTGACAGCCACACATTCCAAATAGTGTATGTATGAAGTGGTTTTGTTTAAATGGTAATCAAGATGTCCAAACTTTAAGATTTGTTTGATTAGCTTGTCCTTAAACTGAACTCCCTCATTCTTTTTAATTCACGCACTAAACTAAATAGCCCAATAGACGTTTGGTTATTAAGATAGATAGATAGCTAACAAAAAATACTCAGCTATAATCATTCCCAAATGTCTGTGGCTGTGGAACAATAAGCATGGCTAATGTTGGCTCTAGTCTTTGCCAGCATTAGCTTTTGCATCCACTCATGTTGTGGAAAGTTGATATGAATAAAGCTGAATTATGTGAGTTTTGTTGGCTATTAGCATGCTGATTTTTTAATTAGAATTAAGTGAAAGCTGGACAAATTAAAATATGCTTTTGTGGATGAAATCACCAGGCTGTTGTAATTATTCAATGTTAAATCTTTAAGGTCTAAAACTGAAAGACAGCTGCTTATCTCTACAATTCACCAAAAAAATACAGCCTCCAGATGATAAATAGGGAATGCTGGCTGTTAGAGTAATCCTGAACATATTTTAATCTGCTCTTCCCTGTTTATGCCTTTATAGGACATAGTACAGGGAGTCAGGAAAGTCTGGGAGAGAGTGGGGGATGACATGTAACGAAGAACCTGAGCTAAGTTTGTCACAGTATGCCACATGAACAGAATAAACACCCTTCTCCACAGAACAAGTGGGATACCTTGGCACAGCACTTATATCTGCCTACTCAGCATGTGAAACATTCTGCTCACTGACTCAACTACTGCATATTGATTAGCCTACAATACTACAATTTCCTCATAATCCAATCATAACAATGGGATCTAAGTGACTGAACAAATTCCTCAATAACACAAATGAAAACAATGATTGACCACTGATGGTGTGATGATTATACATTGACTTGTTCAGTGTTATTTCCATCAGATTTTGATGGCAACTTGGAAATATGCTATAAGCAGAACAGAGTGAGCAGTGTTGGTCAGTTTATTCAGAATGTATCAAAATTGGTAAATTATTCTTCCCCACCGACATCTTTACAACAAGCACTATGATAGGGTGTTTGTCTATTTAGAATGCAAATTCATAAACGCTGCATGGCTGTAGAGATGTCTGTCTTTGGTTCAGACTGAACAATCTCAACATCCACTGGACTGCCATGACATTTCGTACAGACATTCTGCCTGCTGATTTTGGTGATCCCCTGACTTTTCCTCTGGCACCACTGACATTTCTGTTTTTTTCAGTGAAATGTCTTGACAACTGTTGGATGGACTAAAATTTGGTAGAGACATTCATTGTCCACCTCAGGATGAATTGTAATAACTTTTTATTTGACTGTGAGCATGTTTGCACGCTAAAGTTAGCATTTAGCTCAAAGCACTGCTATGTAGTACAGTCCAATAGAGCTCTTTTGTGTGAAACTATTTTTGTTTAAGAGCAGGCTACATGGTTTCTTATCTTATTTTTTATATTTCCAGTGATTTATGTGATATCTACATTGTTTTAGCACATTGTTTTTTATATTCAAGCAGGTGAATCAATCTGCACATGCTCATACCTAGTAAAAAAGCTAATGCACAGGTAACCTTTTGCAGCATTATTGATGGGCCTTTATGGTGCATTTCTCCTGATAGCTCGCAATGTGGTCCAGTTTCTCAGGTCAATAGCTGAAAGCATCTCAACATCATCCATCACAGTCTAGTTCCCCCCTGCTTCCTCCTACTCTGAGAACAAGCTGAACAGATGATTGACTGTCAGCTGCCCTCCATGAAGTACTTGCATGACACTGCGGAGAATAAAAAACCAAGATGAGTTGGCCGTCCCCGCAGCCACACATGACAACCTTTTGGAACAACTTTCCTCTGTGGCACAGCACCGGTCCATTAAAACAGAAAGCAACTGCCGCAGCAAGGTTCTCACTAAAGTTGTCATCACAGCCAACCAGACATCTAAAAACTCCTGAGTTGAGTTCCCCATTACCTCTGCAAACATAGCTACCTCTAATCACTGTGCACCCTGTCCTCACTACATAACAATGAAATCTTGTCTAATGCACATCACATAATGAGACTTCAATATATGGAGCATTATCCACAGTATGTTCTCTCTTTAAATCCTATTATACAGTGCAGTTCTAACATGCTTATTCAGAGTTGCTTCCGTTGCGGCTCAACACCATCAGATTAAGTGAAAGATAGACATTTACCAGCAATCAAACATTTTTTGTGATTTGCCAACAAGTATAATAGGTGCTAAGGGAAATTAACCTTTGTGAAATGAGCTTTTGCAAATTATGTGGCTGAATGTCATTAATTGTCAAAGTGCGCAGCCTGCACCCATATCATCAAAGCAAATTAAGCTTTCCTGTAAACATCCCAGATAGGGCCATTGTAGCATGCTATATACCCATATCCCTGCATTCTTCTGAGGATTTGAAATGGCAGCATGTGATACTGACTGCTGTGATCACAAAGCACAACGGCTTCTGAGATCCCCTTGTGGCAAAATGTTGTTGAATCTTCTGTCATTTAAAGGATGGCATGAAAGGAATTTTGCTGAATCAATGTTTAACTATGCACATTAAAATTCACTTCTCCTCCTCTTTTTCCCCCCAATATGCATTCCTATCACTGTAGTCATTTCAGAGTACACATTTAATCACTTTGCCCAATTTAGTGGACATGTAAATAAAGACATCTACTTTATTTTGAGAAATTTTAATTTTCTTTTTTTTAAGATAGCTAAACCAATAATCCTCTTTAAAATGTCTAATTCTGACTAAGGATATGCAGATTGCAGGCAAAGCTTATGGTGTTGGCAATGTATCCAAGATATAGATTAACTTAGTTGCTCCCACTTATAATGACCATAAATCTTTCTAAAAATCTTACAAATGATGTGCTTATTATTTAGTTGGTTATTATTTTGAGGTTTATATATTCTACCATATTGCAGGATTATTCAATTTATCACTTGGCTGCCTCTTGTATCTGGACATAGTGAAAGTGAAAGAAGCGGATGTCACATTATCACCTGAAGCGTTTCCCTTTAGACAGTGCTCTGCTGAGAATGGGTGGGGCTGCTTCTGATGTCCCTGGTGCCACGCTGCTGCCCTTAACAGACGTTCTGTGAGAACTACAGCTCTGAAAAAACAGAAGAAGAGTAGTGAAGTACAGTAAGCGGTAAAAAATTGTTTCAGAATGTATCCTCATGCTATGTAAAATACCCAAAAATGTGGTTTCTGTATTATAGTTTAGCTTGGATTAATTTATTATAAAAAGGTGATGATCAAAATCAAAAACAAGACCATCAGGTGCAAGTGATTATGTAAATCAACACAGGAAATAAGCTCAAGGTATAATATATAATGCTAGGGATACTGTATGTGGCTTAGCAGCAAGTCCCCACTCAGGTTGAAGTCCCCAGACAGGTCGAGGATGTTCTCTCATTGATGTATCCCCTCTTAGTCAGGCAGAGTGTCTTTAATTACACTTTACATTTTAAACTGCAGATTAGGTGGCAACGCTTTGTGAATAAACTCCACCATGGCCCTCACAGCACTCCCTCTGCACTAAAGAATTAATCCCACACAAGATTACATTAATGGTTTCCTAAAGAAGTGCCCCCCTCAATTCTTTCCCTTTATTCTTATCAAAATGAACACCATTATCTTACAGCAGGCCCCAGACAGAGCTCTGCCACAGCGACTTCCCCAAGAACCCCACTGTGAAACAGTGATTCTGTTATTCCAGTTACAGTACTTCCTGCTCTGCCCTTTGTGTCTGTCTGATTGCACATCATTAAAGCAATTGCATGTGACTTAAAGCCAGTTCGGGGTTCTCATGCCTGATAAGCCTCTTTTTCTCCCTTACACCCCTGACTCCCAGAGGGAGCTGTTACTGGTGTTCACTAGTAGTACAAGAAAATAGGATAATGTTGGCCACCCTCTCATATACCCTGTGGGTGCAGAATGCCTCGCTTTCTGGAACAATTGCCATGGCAAACTTTCCAGGAGGCTGATATCTATGTCAGGGGATAAAATAAATAGCTTGTGGCAGACAATGGCAGACCTGCATGGCGTAACCCATTTCACTTGTTCTCCCCTATCTCACGTTTACCTTGTTTTATGCCACTTGTGAAAGCCTTGGATAAACACAACAGAATGTGGATTTATTTCAAGGGGAGACAGAGGGAAAATACAGGAGCCTACCAGAATAACAGAACAATCTATTAATATGTTGACTATCAACTACATAACAAGGAGAAAGGCAAACCTATGCATTCAGAGCAGCAGTAATCCTCCTTGGATTACCATCAAATCACAGGTCCTGAACTGTGCATAATGGGATATTTGACCATTCTTCGTGAAGGACACTCCTAAGGCCATAAGCAGCACAAACCACCACCAGTTGTAGTTCACTGCTCAAACTGTGTCAACTCTCTGAGCCCAGATGTGACCGTTATGAATAGCATACACAATGTTGGCTCTACCTGATATCAAAATGTTAATCAGTTGTTTCAGGATTATGCAATGACATGCACATTAGCGTAACGTTTTTTATTTGTTGACAACATTATTCTTTTTCAAGCTGCACTAGCCTGTCCTTTTATTAATCAAGAAGATACCTACAGTAGCTTTCATATCATCCCCACTGCTGTCACAAGACTTGTCTAACAAGTGGCTAATATTCTTCCTCCATTTTATGTTCATACTGGCACCTGATAAATTTTCCGAAGGCATTGTGCCTTATGTTTTTTTTTTCAAGCTATGATAAAAACCACAAGAGACATACTTTCATGCACATCAACTTCAGTTTGTTAGACATATTTAAAACTTCAACAAGAAGAAGATAGGGAAACTAGATAGAGAAAGGGGTGGAGGGTGCAGAATACAGTACACAATACTGTACAATACAAATAGTTCAAATTAACTAGCAAGGACCACACCATCAATAGATGCGTTAAATGATTTATTGATGAAACAAGGAGATGGTGTGTGAGGCTTGGACTCGCTGTTCAGCTTTGGTTTGCTACTGTGTTATGCGAAGCTTCAGTGGTTAAATCCACTGTAGAACCTGGACACAACAGACCGGCAAATGCTTCAGTATTTGAGAGAAGTGCTATGCTTGGGAAGACCAATGGCCCATGATTTGTATTAAGTGCTCGGGAATGCTATTGTAGGAGGCATGCAGTGGCAGCTCCAATGCTGAAGGAGTGATCAAAGTAATGGACAGATAGGAAGCGATTTGCGCTGCGATGGCCGTGGGGTTCAGCACAAAAGTTCACTGTTTTGAACTTTGACAGTGGCGTGCGCGCAAGGTCCCCGTGCAGTGCGCTGTGCTGCGGTCGTCGCAGTCTGTCTGAAAGGCCCATAACAAGGACGGTATGTGGCCAAAGTGCTGGTGGAACCAGAGTCAAGTATCCACTTGACTGGACTCAGAGAACAAAAAGGTTGGATGCACACTGACAGCAAGTCTGCAGTAACAGGAAGGCAGCAATGATTTTAAGCTGGGCCTTGACGTAGAAGTCCTCTGATAAGTAAGGTTCTCTGTTGATGGTTAGTAGCCAGGCTGGGGCTGCCGGTTAGGAGTTTGAAGAAGGAGCTAATGCAGCTATGCAGTGTGCGTTTTTATATCCATTCAGGAATGGGCACAGCTGACAAAACAGGATGCGTGAGAGAAGTGACTATTCACTCCAAACAACAATGCTAAAGAGGTTAGCATATATGCTACTAGCATCAGTCATGTAAGAACAGCAGAGTATTCTTCATTGAAAAAAGGGTAGAGAATGGCACTGAAGTGCCTGACGATTTCCAACTGTGACTTTTCAGATGGTCTGGCACGGTCAGGTTAACAGTTGCTGAGAGTGGGCAACGGGGGGCTTTGGCACCTTGGTGTCAAAAGCCCCTACTGAAGTCAGCTGCTGTGGTTGCTGGAAGTGTACACCTGGGGGCGCTGGCATCCTGATGCCAGGAGCCCCGGCTAGAGTGAGTTTCTAGCAGTTGCTGGAAGTAGGCAGCATGGGCGCTTGCATGTCAGCACTGGATTATGTGATGTGATTGCTGAAGCTCCCTGTATCATTTGCCCTCGATGATGTAGGGTGCTGCTGTTGGTGTAACAAAACCTCATGGGAGATGGAGTGCCCCAGAATTTTTCCATGGACGGCTGGGGTTGTCATGTTGTTTACAAGTTTAGGTTTCTTGGGGTAGGGTGTACTCTATTAAATTGTATCATTGTGCCCTCTACTGATTGGTAGCAGACGTTCTGGTACCTCGTAAGTCTTCACTGAACTTGACTGCGAGAGCCGTGTTGTTGGGAAGATAGTTTTGTATGACGGTGTTTTGTTCTCTTTGTGCTCAAAACAGGAACAAACCTGAGTTCAAATAGATATGCCAATGCACCAGAACACAATGCAGCGTAGTTGGGACCTGCAGAACATTCTGGGTATGCTGGCATCCCAGTGCCAGAAGCCCCTATTGGAACCAGCTGCTGTAATTGTTGGAAGTAGACAGCAGGGGTTGCAGGCATCTCAGTGCCAAAAGCCCCAACTAAAGCAGGCTGCTGTGGTTAGTAGAAGTGGAAAGCTGGGGGTGCTGGCATCGCGGTGCCCCCTTCTAAGGCTGGCTGATGTAGTCACTGGAGCTAGATGGCAGGGGTGCTGATGACTCGATGTCATTAGTCCTGTATGATGTAGGCTGCTGGTGCTGTTGCTGAAAACCCTGATGAGAGATGGAGGGCCCTGATTTCCAGTGTTGGTTGACTTGAAGAGCGCTGGTGTTGACATGCTGACACGAAAGCATTAAAAGGTTTTGCTGTGTTGTTCATTCTGGAAAAAAATGTTTAGCTTTTAGCATTTTTTGAAGAGTGGCTACAGTTCAGTAGGAAATTTTAGATGAAGGTTGGATGTCGGGAGATCTTGCTGGAGTGTGGTAATGCAGCGATCGGCTGCTTGTTGTGAGCTGGAGAATACACCAGGTGAACTGTTCTTGAGATGGAGTAAGTCATAGCTGGGCTTACCTGCTTCCTGGACGGCTTTAGGGTTGTGAAAAGTGGTGTCTCAGGCATGGAGGTCCGATGGGGATAGTAAGATCGTCGTTTGTAGTAATTTGCATTACAGAATGGTAGCTCAGCGTGCTTGAGCTGATGTTGCTTGGTCTCAGTTCAAATACAAGCGTGAAGAAGAGGAGATGGGTTAGGTGGTTATTTATGGAAATGCTATTAGTGGCATGATTGGGCATGATTGTTGTGTGGTCCTGCTCCTGAAACTCTGCTAGATAGCTCCAATCATTTAAACTTTTCAGTTGGGGTTTTAGATATTTGAATTTAACAATAAATGATCATCTACTTAGCTACTTCTGCAGGTACTTTTTGTACATCCGAACATATTCAGAAATCATCTTTAAACAGCCGTTGGTGTTCAAGAATTGATGATATGAAAGCTTCTGTCTTGTGTCTCTGAGAACATATGAGTATTGTCAAACTCACTTTGGTGTAACAGAACACAGCCTTGTGGCACACCAGAGCTTTTATTGTAATATTCTGAGGTCATATTTCTGTGGACTTCTCTGTGGCCCTTACCATTCTCTAGCCCCATGAAGTATTCATACAGTATGCTCACCCCAAGCTTTTCATCATTCCTGAGGGTGAGTCAGTCTCTTCCTAAAGTAAGGCTAGTTCGTTACCACCACTCCAGCCTCCGGCAAATGGGAATTGAGTTTTTCTGCCTTGTCTTCCGAGTCTGTGTGCCCCTATTCCTTCATGCTGGTGCATGTCTGTTTCAGTGCAGTGTGTCTCATGGGTGTGTACCCTATCTCTTTTAATTTGAGACACAATTCTATTGCTATAAAGGTGTTGATTTACCTCAGCAGATGTGTTTAACTATGCAGTTACATTATCTTCTGTCTTTTGGTTTTGTTTCTCTTAAAATCGCTTTGAAATTAATCCTGCTGTGCTTGAAGTGGGCCGGTACACACCAGTTTTTGTTTCCCTTCATTTAAATTAAGACATTTCCACTATAAATTGAAAAAAAAACATCTCCAGAATGCCGTAATTTAAGAGTTTAATGCTCAAAATCCAATAGACAAACATCATATGTTTCATCAAAATAGTGTTAAAATATGTTCTCCCCACCATATGAGTCCCCACCACTTTTCTAGTGACAAGTGACAACCTTGTTGACAGCAATCAGCGAACCTTTGAATTGTTGAACTTGTTGTTCTGCAGACACACATAAATATGTACAAATGTTACATGTGACAGCGCAGGTGCACACAGAAGTTAGATGTAATAGTTCAGGGATGTAAAGTACACATAGTGTAAAGGCAGTGCAGGTGGTGCTGATTTTAAAAAGGTGCAGAGGATTTAGTAACTTATTGGTTGGCTAAGGCTTGGAGCACTGCTGCAGAAATCATTGTTACACAATTATGTCAGCATATACTGCACAAGTCTTTGCATTTATACTCAGCACACCTTAAGAGAAAATGTCTTGGTCTATAACGCCTGAGTTCAGACAGTTTACATGTTTTTGGGGAAGTTAAAGATACTGGACTGGTGTGTCAGTTCATCATAGAGATGGTATGGAAGCCACTGACCAAAATGGACTTCAGTTCCATCCTCCCCTCTGCACCTGCCTCTACAGAGCCACACTTTTGTTTACGACTCACTGCCCCCATCCTCCACCTTACTGCTTCAAACGCACACAGTAGAAACCACTGTGTTCTCATGGTGAGTGGTTATGCAGCATACACGAAATGTTTTGAGCCTCTTTAAGAACACTCTGCTCTGTTTGTCCTTGTTAACTATTTCCATTTTTATTATTATTTTTTTCAGTCTCATCCTTTAAATAAAAACCCAGAGAACATATGGGGCTGCACCACCCATAACACATGTCCTCTCCCCTAGATGGCTGCAAGCTGAAGGAGTGGGTGGGAGAGAGGCAATGGTCTGGGGTCGCTGTGTCAAATCTGTGGAAAAATAGGTTTCACTTGTTAATCTTTCCTTGGTCTGTTTAGCTCATGCCCCCTCCTGGTTTCTTATAGCCTGTGATCTTTTCACATCCCACCTTAAGCTTCCTTCACACTGTTCTATTATAGCTTTTGTTTCAGTGTTGTTGTGTTATTACTGTCTTTTATTTTTGTCTTCCTCCTGGCTTCTTCCCTGTGTATGCTCTGACAGCATTTTGAAGCTAGATACAGGGCTTCACTACATACTGAGCCACCATACATTCCTGTCACCACATTGTGGTGTTAATATACTGTAATAGCCAGCTATTGTGCTATGGGACAAAAGGCCTGCATCTGAATGAAATACATTAAACTGTGCTGAGACAGGATTGGTGTCAGTTGAACTTTGTGGACTCATTTATAAGGTGTTTTTTGTCTGTGCAGCAGTGAAATCATGTGATGTGTTCTGGCTTATCTGAAATTCATTTTTTACTTTGACTTAAACACATCTACTTAACAGCTACAACATTTACACCAAGTGTTGTACCACTTCTTAGCTGTCAGCCACTCAAAGCTGTAATTTCCAATGACACCCTCAAAAAGCTTTCAGATTGTGCCAACTGCAGTTCCGTGGGCGGGGCTAGCTTGAGGGGTGTTTGTTTCAGTGTGTGACACTAGACACTGTTGTGTTATTAAAGAGCCTCAGCACAGGCCACATTTGGCAAAGTACTAACACAGAAATGACAGAGCAAGGCTGAACATGATTGAGACTGTATAAAACACATGTGTTGGCTATCAAACAGGCGCACCACCCTCTTGTTTGTAATCAGTAAAGAATGTTCACTACCTACCTTTAAACATGCATATTTAATTTAGAGTGTAAAAATAAGATGTGAATGATTTATCATTCACATCAGGTCAGTAACACAGAGATTTTCATATCTAGAAAGAGCAGGTGCACATTAGCACAGATATATGATAGGAAAGTAGTGATGGGTACTACTTTTTCAAACAATGGAAGAAAGCTGAACACAGAACAAATTCAAATTTAAAAAAAAACATCTCATGAAGATGAAAAAAAAGTGTGCAGGAGCAAATAATAAATGAGCACAATATGTGACCGTTTTTCCAACACCTTACAAAGAGGGTGCATTCAGGAAAGTGCTAATGCGTTATGGTGATTGCACTCTTTTGATGAGACCTTTACAAGTGTGCATTAGGCTCCAATTACCTTGGGATACTGTGGAAAGATCAGCCATATCAGTGCCATCTACATCCTCCACCTGCTCAGGGTCAGTTCTGTCTTCCACAATCTGCCAGTGCATCCCGTGGTGGCTTGTAAATCATTTTAAGCTACTTTTTTTCTGTTCCACGCTGCCATTTCTTCGTTACTTAACCATTTTTTTCATCATGTGAAATAAATGCCAAAATGAAATTTTTCTCCTTGGGCTTGCACTGTTTGTCTCCAAACTGTTTTGGTGTTGTGTTTCTTAAAGGTAAAGGTACTTTATTGTTATTGTGGTACTTTATTTGTCACATACACAGCGAAATTCATTCTCTGCATTTGACCCATCCCTGAAGGGAGCAGTGGGCAGCCACCGTACAGCGCCCGGGGACCAACTCCAGATTATAATACAGTGTCTGGTCAATGACTGACTGAAGAACCTAACATGTTTTTGATGGTGGGGGAAACCGGAGCACCCGGAGGAAAATGGAGCACCTGAAGGAAACCCACACAAACTCCACATAGAAAGGCCGGGGCAACCGGGGTTGAACCTGGGACCTTCTGGCACGGTGACGGTGGATAGCACTGTGGCCTCACTTCTCCATTATGCTTCAATATGGCAAGTGAATGTGCCAGCAAATTACAGTTGTGGCATTCTCAGTAGTAAAATACCACTAGCAAAGTGCCATTTTAACATTATTTGTGTACTCTACAGAATTGTTGCTGTGCTTGCATAGTGAATTCAGGATCCATGACACGGCACAGATTAGAATTTCCAATCTGCAGTGTGTCAAAGGAATCTGTCAATGTGAACAGGACAAGCAGATTTTTCCTGTTTAACACATGATGCATTTATTTTAAACTGTAATTCCCCTCTCAGTCCATATCAGATATAAGTGTGAACAAAGAGCTTCTGCCAGTAGAGATATTATTAAGACACACATCATACATCATTCTGTCAAGCACTTTAAACTCTGTTTTTAGAGAAGTGCTACGCATGTTAAGATGAAACAGATGATAATGATGATAAAGATATGACTGGAAATAAATCAACAATACGTAAAGATTTACCTTTTGGAGTTGAAAGCTGTATTGAAGCCTGGGAGTAGATTTTGACATGAGGCCAGAGGCATTGACACCGCAGTCTCTCAGGCTGCGGCTATCAGAGAAATGAGCCTGGAGTTTTTCCCTGTGTCTTCTGTAGAGGAAGGCAGGTACATAGAGAAAGACAGAGATTGCAATCTTATGACTAAAATGAGGTAATCCAGACTTGTTGACATTATAGACAGTAATTAAAAATATATATATATATATTTCAACGAGACGGAAACAAGCAGGAAAAATGACCATGGTGGTATACTTCACTATAAGGGTATTTCCTATCTCCCGTCTAATGATAACACGCTCTGATAACAGTTTTCAGTCCAGTCGTTGATTTCTACCACCCACTTGGCCTGGTCTTTAGATGCACATGTAACAGCAAGGTAGGTGATTATATTTATTGATTTGTTACCCTTTATTCCCAAGATGTAATTACTTTTAATACCCAGTAAGATGTGTGTGAAAACAGGCACATACATCACAAATAGTACATAAGCTTTGAGTCCTGCCAGTAAACTATCACAGTTGCCTATTCAAGGAAGGATTTCACTTTACTACTATTCATTGTAGACAGGCGTGTATTTTGGAAATGTGACAATGAATGACCATTTATATTATTTCACAAAAAGAAAATTGCCACTTTTGATTGATCTTAAAGCAAAACAACGAGATTTGACAACCGTTGTCAAATGTGCCTTTAAAGGTCAAAGTGACAAAATGAACATCACTCAATTTGCAACTCACATGTGGGATTTTTTTTTTCCTAGAGCTTTAACTGAAGGTTTGATGGAGGTGAAAATGCTTAAACTGGCAAGAGACATAGCATTATGAGAGAAGATGTCGTGCACAAGTGAAAATGTAATCAAGGCAATGTACCGTGAAACCTCCATTACATGCCTTTGTGATAATATTCTAGGAAAAGAAATACCTCCAGAGACACCAGAGTTAGGGGAATATAAGGACGATTTCTGGTTGATAACATGTTTTAATGTATACTGTCAAGTGAACATGTCAAGCTGATGGTGCCTTAAGCAGACTTTCCAGTTTTCCTGCTTCATAGCTATCTTAAATTTGTTTAAACTTGGTTTCAATCAGTTCCAATCTTTAACATTAAAAAGCTCTAATAAACAAAATATGAGAAAGAAAAGTAAAATGGCATCATTTAGCTATGCTAAATATAGTGTTCCTTCATTTTGGATTAAACTTTGATTGGATTAAAAAATTAATTGATGCTTAAGAGTTTTGGATTAAATGTTAATTCACCATTAAATGTTCATTTTTAAATACTAGGTTGCTAAAGTCTCTCTGCAGCTGGGGCCTGTTAAATGTTTCCTGTGCAAAGGACATGGCAAAATGTTCAAATTTAGGAAGTAAATGACTAAATTGGTGAAAAAAACAAGAAACTAAACAGCAACTAACTGATGATTTGGATGGACTGACACCCAATGCTGGGACTCACTCTCAAAAAAAGAATGAACCAAATGACTAACTTCTTGAAAGAACACTGAAAGCAGTGATCGAGTTTTATAAGTACATATAATTAACAGGGCTTTGACTTTCCTTTTTGTGAATCTTTAAAAATGTATAAGTAACTCTCTTCTCTCTAACTCCTCTGTATAGTCTTCAAATACCATCAAGAATGCAACTTCACTAGTTAATCTTCTCTGTGAAGTTTAGGTCTTTACCGAAGAGCAGAATAAGTATTTAGTAGGAGAAACTGTCAAACAACATTTGGGGAAAAGAAATTCAATTTAACAAGGACTCTGGGTTTGGTTACTTTCCGGGACATTATTTGTACCGTTGAGCCAGGACTCTCTGGTCACGCTGGCACTGGCACTACTTAGAGTGCTACAGTACTGAAAATAAAACCAATTTTTATTTATCAAGACCAATTCAATCAACACAAGCTACATTAAATGCCCCTTTACACTCTGCTATTACTTTTGTTTGTCTACATTCCTTTACTTTCTTCTTCCCTGCGGTGAGTAATTGACTTTGGCGGGCTGCTTTCGCACTTCGTGATTCCCTCTTATCCGCACACATGTACACACACGGTTAATGTTTTTGAACTTACTCTTGCCCCTGTCTTATCTGTGTATTTTGTTTTGGATGAAGCATTTTGTGACACACCTGCTTACTAAAACCACTTTACAAATAAATCTTACATGAGTATCTGTCCCAAATGCATCCTACGCAATTTAGATTTGATGCCCTGCTAAAACATCCTCTAGCTGACTCACACTTAGAATTTCATTGGGCTCCATGCCATAATAGTAAAGTGCTCTTTCTGCACAGCCAGGGGCATACTCTACTAATGTGGTGCTGGCTGGCATCACTCACTTGTTGCGGCGGTAGAGAGCCATACATGCCACTCCAAGAAGACAGATCCCTGAGGCAATGCTGAAGATGGACAGCACCTGCCTCTGGTAGGTGTCACCACTCTCTGCGGAGGAGAGAATACAGTTCAGGCCCCTGAATTTCTACTGTGACACAAAGGATATGGGTATGTGGGTGTGACTGAGCAGGGAGGAAGAAATTCATCATGAATTAACATAACGAACTCACACAAACGGTGGCTGGACGTGCACACAAAGCCACTCATAGACATCTACACACAATCTGCATTAGCATAAAGCGACCAATGCTGCTGTCAGTAAATGTCAGTGTTTGAGCATGGGATAGGGACATGGCAGACACAGACAGGGCTCAGTGACATGTGCTAAGTGAAGTGTGATAATCATTTCGTTCAGACAAACCCAGCAGGCAACACCGATGGACTGTCTGCACAGCAGGGGCCACACTGAGTGTGTGCGTGCATGTACTGTATGTGTGTCAGTATTCAGAGACTGATGGTGACAGGGAATTAGCAGCAAATGAATGCTCCCGGAGCTTCTTGTCAGACCCCTGCACATCAGCAGCAGAGGCTTAGGGTCAGAAGCAGCTGGGACAAGTAGCAGTTGATCCCAGAAGATATCTGTGTGACTGAGCAGCTGGATTGCGGAGCTGCACAGCTTAGTGCATGGTGCAGGGGTGAAGGCGGTGCACGCATGGGCTTATGACTCCAAATAGTCTAGTGGTCAAAAATGAGCGCAATCTAAAACCTGCATGTTGGTATGTTAGTTATCCACTGACATCAACTGTGGTGAGATGTCTGTGTCCCACTGTCATTCAGGATCTTGAACATAACCTCCTGTGACATTACTCAGTCACTCAAGAACAATACAATCCCCCAGTGTCTGATCCCAGCACCTTGACAACTGCAGGGTAAAGTGCAGAAAACATCACCACAACCTGTCCATGACCTTTGAGGGCTTGTCTTTGAGGCTTTTGATGCTGTCAACAGAGAACTGTCCTGGGAGGTCGTCTTCATCCGTGCTTGTCTACCCAGGTTTATCAACTTCCTACAACTCTTGTTTTATAGGCACAGTGACTGTTGGAGAGCTTCTTGTGTTGAAAGCACACTGGAGTGCAAACAAGCAGTCTGTTTGCACCATTTTTTTCTTTCATTTTCTTCCTCTGCATCACATCAGTGCTGCATCAACACATTTGAGGGATCGTATGGTGTAACTATGGTGGTGAGTTCAAACCGGTGGGAAACCTTTTTAATATTACAATGCTTCTGGCAAAAGATAAAGATAACATATGAACACATCCTGGAGTTATAACGTGGATATAAATGCATGGTATATACACACATCAGAGTGCAAACGGCCCACTCGGCTCCTGTGAAAAGGAGGCAGGATGGGTTTGAATTGAAATAAACAGTCCAAAGAAATGCTGCGGGGGTGGCCAGCTGTGACACACTAATGCATATTTAATACTTCCAAACTGACAAATTGCAAATGTGCTTGATTTTGGTCACATTTTTGGTTTTGCATTAATGTTATAAATAATGGATTCAAATAATGACAATTTAAAGTTGGCATCTTGAAAAGAGCAATTAAGCATGTGACTAACAGGCCGATATTGTTCATCATAGTCTGGCTGGTACCGGATTTCTGATATTGACAACAATATATAGATTTTTGAGCAATATATAATAATATATGTACCTAGATTTGTGTTTTTTTCATACCAATATAGTGGACATTTTGCCTAGGATCCATCAGATACGGTTATAAGAGCTGTGTTAAAGATATGTTTGGGGCAGTATATTTCCCAGAAGAATAAACTTATTAGCAAAGATGAAAGTATGACATTGACTAATATGTTATATTATAAAGTTAATATAACATATGACTCAATTTCATACAGTAAACCTTACAAGAAATTAAATCATAAGTAATATCTATAAATATATGAACTTTAACTGGGAGAAATGACGATTGGCTTCAGTTTAGTATACTGAAATGTCTTCAGGTATATCTGCTAATATAGATGGTTATGTACAGTGTAAAACTATAATAAGCCAATACAGCCGATAATATCAACCCTGAGGTATATCTGGCAGGCTCAGTTATGCATAATAGAAACAATTCACGTATTTGACACTAGTATTTTGAAACTTGTGAAGAGAGTGGTGGAGCTGTCAACAAGTTTTTGACTCGCAGATTCTTGAACAACCTTGTAATTTGTCCGGAACACAGCCGTGGATATCTTCATGCGTCACTTTACAAATAAATAACTGACGTTACCTATATATCTTATATTTGTGCCCCCTGTAAACTCTCCGGCCTTTACCATCAGTGCAATGACCTTTATGACGGTTGCATCTTTGAAATACATGGGAAATATCTTTCTCTGCCAACACATCAGCGCTCATGTGGAGCACCACCTGAGACAAGCCTCTGCCTTTTTTTTTGTGTGTGTGTGTGTGTGTGGGTGTGGGTGGGGGGAGATAGATGAAATAGGCTTTTCCAAAATCGTAACATAAAAACAGCTGTTTATAAAGCTCTGCTGAATGGCTGCAAGTAAAAACCAACATGCAGTCTGTACATAAAACCATTACAGGCCTTTCATGCCTGATGCCTACAAGGCATTCTTAAAATTAGACTAACTGAACAGCCTCAGCTATATTGGCTAAGCCATATCATATTTACACAAGGACAACACAATCCCATATGGCCAGCTATGTCATTGCTATCACTCTCCACGTGACGGAAAAAAATGCCAGACCATGCTAAAGTATCCATGACAAAATGGGGTTCTCAGCCAGAAATAAATCAGGGCAAACTAGCGAGACACACAAAGCTTCAGCTGCTGGCCCAAAGAATGCAAGAAAATCAAAAGACAAGATCATAGTTCGAGCACTCAATCTCACTTCAAACAGGGCTTTGCTGTATTCTGACTGACTGTCTCAGTCTGTCACATATCGGACTTATATAACCACTATCAAAGGATTCATTGCAACAGCAGAAGACGAAGTCATAAAGGAACACAATGAATAAGGAAGTGAGGATGCACAGGGCTTACCTCATCTGTCCAGCTATAAATCGATCAATCCTGTTCTCATTTCCTCTAATGAATCCACCCACCTGCAGTAGCATTCTGAACTAATTTAGTCCCTAAGATTAAAACCACCAAACTGAGGAATATTGTGTGCACGGTGGGCTTCTCCCTTTGAGAGTGTCGTCTCCTTCCGTCTATTTCCCGGAGCAAGCGTGTGACGTGACGGCAGTGTATGAAGCCTTGTTAATGGAAAACTTCACAGCATGCAATGTTGGTTTTTATGTATGCACAAAAGGGAGCCAGAGAGTGAGGGAAAGATGGCAAAGGGAAAATGAAAAACAGTACATGTGTGGTAGAGTCTGTGTGTGTCTGTGTGAGTATCAGGGATTATATATTCCCTCTGGATAAAGAATAGTGTGTAATTATTAAAGAAAGAGGGCTAGATGGTTTGAAAGTAACTAAAGTAATATCAACGAAATTCTAAAACATGTTTTAATTGTATTTTAACTGCCTCTTATTCCATTGGTAGACATTTTGTGGTTGCCCAGGCTTTTAGATAAATCATTTTGTAAATCCAGATGAAGTAACTCACAACACAAAACATTTTTTGACACCATATATAATGTACACAGAAATTGCTACAAAACTGACACTACATACATGTAGCAGGCGAGCAGACACACATTCACACATGAACTGCTGCAGTCTTGTCTTCATTGCTCTATCCTCATTACATCACTCCTGTCTAACGGTACTGTTATTCATGCAGACAGAATACGCCTAATTCACCACCACTGTGTTTCCATGGCGACTGGCCCGCATTAATTTTCCAAGGTGAGTGGCCTTGTTGTGCTGGATTGTGTGTTTTGTATGTGGTATTTCACAGGTGTAAAGCACATAAAAGATTGATTGAGCCAATGAAAAGTTGTCTTACCCATGAACTCGATCCCAAGTTCATCCGCTGTTCCATTCAAGGCCGGGTAGCATAAGAAAATGGAGGGAACGGGTAAACACAGACAAAGGGGGGGGGGGTGGGGTGGGAGAGAAAAACAGTTACAACATAATGTGCCTGTATCTTACTCAGAATTCACCTTAGGGACACACACACTCCATAAAGTTGGTTTGACGGCTTTCTCTGACATGGCTCTCCCTTGTGCACCAGGTAATGAGCCACCCAGCCCAAGATGCTTGGTATGCTTTTCCGTGATACACTCTGAATTTATACAGCCTGCAGTGGCTTTGAATGAAGAAAGAAAACAACAAAGATATGGGGGCTGAGAGGATTAGAGGAAGGATCGGGAAAATAAAAGTTGAAAATGACATATCATATAGCTTTATGTCACTGACGTTGCTTTGCACAGGCCTTTTATATTGATTTGAGCCTGAGGCATTGCAGTAATTGTCCTGCTCTGTCTCCACGCACAGCTTTTCAATATTCACAAGCTGGTCGCTTTAAGATGCGCCCCACTAACACACACGTTCACATACATGCGCACCCATAGGCATACAGTACATTACACTATTGTATGCCTTTGTCTCTCGCACACACACACAAACACACACACACAGTCTTCATGCTGTTAAGTCTTTCCCCCCAATCCCAGTGCTGAGGAAACAGATAAAAAGGAGCACTCGTGTTCTTTCCATCCTGACAGTGCCCCTTTTTCATGTCACTGTAATGTAATCTCATTTAAATTAAAATGAAACCCTCACTAGTAATTGCTTTTCTGACAGAGGTGGTTTGAGTTTTAAATAGAATGCGGCTTGCCAAGCTCCTGACAGATTATGTGGTGGGCACTCTCCAAAAAAGTGGCTAACAGAGAGAAAGAAAAAAAACATCTGTTCCTGGACACATTTTGATTGTACCATGGGACAATCTGTCAGTGCTGTGGCTTTATATGTTAGAGGGAAAACGAAAACACCCCAAAGAACTTGAGCAAGATTCAGATAGGCAAAAGACAAGTGAACATTTGGATGAATGGACCATAATAATTGCATAAGGTTATCTCGCTCTATTAAGGGGTGTGATAAGAGGAAATAGGTCTTTTTAATGTGAATGATCAAATTTGAAATACAGTTAGCAAAGTCATGACATTTAGGGAAAGTTTCAGAGAGCATTTAGACATATTAAATACAAAGCCAAGTTTGTCATTCACTCTACGACTCCCTGGCAGATTCTTAATGAGGCAAGGGGATTTTCATGATTGCAGTGATAACAGGAGAGAAATGAGAAAAAAGCCTGAAAAGCAGGTCTGAAATCCCCAAATTAATCAATCATTTATAAAATTAAATTATGTTTTTCTTTTTAAATAGGAAGGAGGTGTCCTTATTGAACACAATTTAAGTAATCATTTCCAGATTTATCTACTGCAGCCATGGTGATTATTTACCAAATGTCAGCATTTATTACATGCTCCTACTGATTCAGTCTCACAGCAACTCACAAACTAATGATAAAAACAGCCAATCAATTCTGGCCAGCGGACAATATGCTCTTTGCCATGAGGAGTTAGCCTTGCCATGAGAAATAACTACATGATTAAGATATGGTTGACATTTTTGTTACTAGGTGCTTACCGCCACTGTGGCACAAACACTTGGCAAGGCCAAATAACTGAATGCAGTAACTTACTGATGTTGCCTGATCTGTATTATCCATTCAAGCCTTTCCCTGAGATTGCCCATGGCAACAGCCAGCACTTTTCCACTCTAAATCGCCCTGACTGTCACAGCCTGTGCAGATGATGTCATTACAACACTGATACATATCCCATCCGCTGGAATTGCTGTGTCTGGAGACATTCACCAATCATAATACGCACAGGCTCCCAATCCTTCGTACTGGCAACTCAAAGCACCTGGGGGAATCACTTACAGTGTCTTGTGGGAGCCTTGAGAAAGCTTGGAGAATACCTGTGCATCATGTCAGATGCTCTTGGCCCGATTAAGAGGCAGAAATCTGGTGAGTGGGAGAGACAATGGCAGGAGTGAATCAAATCCTTAATCCCCTCCTTCACTTGGGTGAGCAGGGAACTAGGAAGCCAATGCGCCTGTGTGTATTTGTGTGTGTGTGTGTCTGTGTGTTACTGAACCCAACATCCTGTGTAGCTACTTAAACCAGGCCTAATATCTGAGATAAATAGTTCAAATTAGAGGCTTGCCTTCTTCCTCTTTGTAAAGCTGGTTAAAACCAACCGCCAGCTCACCTCCCTAATCCCCCTCTTCAGTCTTCCACCAAACATCATAGTCTAAATGGTGCAACTATCCAAATTGAAAACTATTAGCATCATGTTCTAAACTCATTCCGGAGTTTTACCGGTTATAAACTAAATTGCAACCTTCCTGAACCCCAACACTTCCCCACTGTGCACCACTACGACCCCAGCAGCTTCTCCCCAACTCATTTCCAAAGCTGAGTTCACAGCAGTACAGCTGGAGTACCTGGCAGGGAGCCTCTTTCTCCTTTTGTCCCTGAGCTTTTGAGATGTGCACAACAGTCCCCGCATCTCTTTCTACCTCTGTAAGGATGTGTGCATGACAGAGTGGCATTGTGCGTACTGCTCTTTTGAGTGGCTGCTTTTGTGGCCAGTCAATAACAAGACAAAGGATGAGGGGCGATGGATGATTTGTGACTGTAAGGTGCAAAGAGATCGATTTCAGCAAAAAAAAAAAAAAAGAGAGAGAGAGAGAGAGAGAGAGAGAGAGAGAAAAAAAGGGTGAAATGAGAAAAGTGTGCATGGCAAAAGAAACTTCTTTCACCCCAGGGTGTGATTTGTGTCTGTCACGTCAATAAATGAAGATGTAGAATTAAACAAACTTAGCTTATACACACAGAGACACGCATACACACAATGATTTGAATTTCACTGGAGCTTGTCCCACTTGTAGTTGTTGTTAGTGTGTGCATGTATGTGTGTATGTTATTACATGATTTTGGCTTTAGAAAGCAGGATAATCCTCAAAACCCTTGCTAATCTGGGTAAATTTTAGATTACTCTGTATCAACAGAGATCAAAATGGGCTTCATTCCTCTCTCAAATCTTCCAGGGTACACTTATCTCTTACGGTGGTTGAATGATTGTGGCCGCAACAGTTTCTTTGGTAAACAGGTGCATGTGTGGAGTGACAGTTTATTGTATTACAGCCGCCATTAATCTTTTTTTTCTTTCTAATAACAGTTTGGTTCATGGCACAAAATTACTACTGAAGATAGTTTTGACAAATCTTTAATGTACTAGATGGATACTGTATAGTTTTACGCCATTTACTGACAACACACCTATTTCATGTACCAACCTATTGTTATAAATACATACTATTATATAAATTACATTTATCATGTATAAACATTATAAACTTTGTACTAACAGAACCAGCATTAGACACGCTTTCATGGCTGTACAGGATCACAACTATACAGCACGATGTTGCATAATAGAAGGCAATACAACACAACTTAAAAAAAAGAGGAAAAATGACAAAAGAAAAACATTAATTTTCAACACAACCTGAAAATCCAACACAAAAGTGAAAAGTGGACATGTTCACAAGATTGGTGTTTGGCCTTCAAGCCCCTCAAATCCTTCAGTTAGATGAAAGCAAAAGCTTACATAACCATAATAAAGTATACTGGAAAGTACTTGCAAGTATACTTGCTTTCAATTTAAATTTTTATATTCATGACAGGTCTGGCAAGGCTTCACTTTAGATCACTGTTCATATGCAGGCTGTGTATATATGTACTTATGTAGCGTACACACCGGGGGTGGATGGGGATGATTCTGGGCTACAACAGTTTGCTATGGAGCCTAATTTAATGACACATCTGTGATGGGAGGTGTGGTGTCTTGCCTACAGTATGAGATGTACCAACACTCACCACCTTCTTACTGTAGCAACCGAGCAAAATTTCCACCTACAGAATGTTTTCTCTCTCCCAAAATACTACTGGAATATTGTGCATATGTGGAAATGTTGTTCCATATATTTATTTGTATGCATTTTATTCCCCCCAGCTATGCTGGATTCTAAATACATTCACATTTTATATAATTACACTTTCTTTGATGTATAAGTTATAATATATTATTAATTGTTTCAGACAAAATTATATTTATTCTAGAATTTGCTTAAAATCTCTGTGGCTCATTATTTACACCTCGTAGATATATGCAATCTGTGGCGGAGGGGGGCTGCTAATAAGATATAGCTTTCATTTAACTGGTCCCAAGATGAAAAGGATGGGAATCACTGCCTTAAACAACTCTGGCTACAACACATGAGCAGTAACCAGAGCAGCAACAGTGCAAATATAGCTTTGTAGTTTAGGTGTTAAAGCTGTTGTCTGGGAGAGTCATACATTGAAGTATTGTGTTTTCCCCACACACTGATCCATCTGTTTTACAGGCTTACCTTTAGCGACTGTAAAAGATGCATGTCCCTGAAACACAGGTTTTAGTCAGCTGAAAGATAGATTGTTGTGTTTAATCCACTGACAAAATCCATCCATTTTAATTTTCGGCTTCAACCCTGCTATATTTTAAAGTGAGTTATTCATAGTAATCTTTTCCCAAGAATAATTTTGATGAAGTGTTTTCAGTAAGCTCACACACTGCAGGAAATATAGTTTTTACATTTGTAAATAAGGTCAAACGTTTATACAGTATATGTTACTGCAGAGTCTTAAAGCAGGGATGTGCGCATAAAAAATGCATACACCACATTAAACAAACACTCTTTTATATTTTCCCTTGTGAGGCTTATTGTCTTATACATTTTTAATAAATGAAAATGCCCTATAAATGTGTTTCAATCTACCGTATTTGTTTCTTATTAACACATTGGGCATTTTATCCATTTTCAGGCAAAAACCAGTAAGATTCAGCTTATTTCAAAAACCAATATCAAAATCTCCTGATCCGGACACACAGGAATATTGATGTCTTATTAGATAAAAACATCCCATTGTGAAAACTGAGTGCCATGAGGGAGCATGAAACATGCTTCGTGACACTGGCTTGTGACCCCATTAATAGACTCTCGGTAGACCTGGCACCATCAAACAGAAGGTTATAGGAGTTAAGTTTTCTCTCAGACTCTTGGTGCAGAGGAGCCAAGTTACTCCATAAAACAGTGTGAATTTGTAAAGCCGCAGTCTCATAGGAAAGGCTCGGGGCCTCCAATTTCTGCTCCTTGTACCTCTGACTTTTGCTTTATTTTTTAACTACACTACACAGCTGTCATGGGAATTCAAAGACTCCAGGGGAACTGTTTTTCATGAACAATGGAAACTTTTGCTAGACTAAAGCAAAACAAGATTAAAGACTGTAATAAAAGATTCAGGAGGTTTTATTCACAGGGTTTAATTCCAATATCTGCATGGTAGCACTGTACCCATGCAGGCCATTAAAGAAACACAGTCTCATTATACACATTTTGACTGCGTCTAACTAAATATATATATTTTTATTGTTGTAATAATTGAGATTCAAAAGAAAATATCCACTTTATGACACCATTAATGTATGACCACACAAAATGGAAATAATAAGCCTAAAGGATAATTCAGTGACTAAAAACATGTTCTTATGAATTAAATGCTGTAACACAGGTATTGTAACATTAACTCTTAATATACTTTAGCTATGTAACTTTATGTTACCCGGTATTCATTTTATGTTAGAGAAATCGCTATTATAAAACTTTAGTGGCTCTAAAAATGAATTTTAAAAAAAAATCTTAGACAGGATTAAAGTACTTTATATTCTGCACTAATCAGTTTCGGATTATGAAAACATCATCAAATGGCTCTCTCTTTACTGGAAATAATTTTTTCTGTGTGTTTTGAAGTACTATTTGCTTCCATTAATAAGTTGACATTACAGAACTGAGAGGAAATGAGGGTAGAAAGAGATTCAGTAGCATACTGATGGGAAGTAGTGACCATCCCTGGTTCAAGTCCCTCGTTGTACTTGAACCAGGGATGATTGAATCCTTAGGCCCCAGGTTCCCAAGATGCTCCAGAAGCTAGTTTTTATGCAGTCTCAGGGCCCAGAGGACTACACTACCCTGTGCTGTAAGAGTTATCAAAAGGCTGATCTCACTTGATTTACAGTATATTTATCATGTTGACTGAAACAGTATAGTCAGAGATTCGCTCAAGGTCATGTAACATGTGCTTGTTATGAATTTGTTTTCATGCCGCAGATCAATACACCATCACTGTAGGATAAAAAATAGAAAAGAGAACGTACTTGGGTCTGACAAGATAGCATCTGTCTTGGGTACAAACTGGTCACAGCGTAGTCCATGGTAGCCTTCCTTACACCTGCAAGAGAGACAAAAAAACAAACAAACACGGAGATTAAAAGTAAGTACCGCATGAACTATCAGCTGAAGATAAAGAAAGTTGAGAGCAGGAATCCCAGAAAGAAGACTGAATGGACGGTAAAAAGTGTGCTCACTGAGGACTGAGGCGGTGGAGGGAGATACACAGAAACTGTTGGGAGGGGTGGGGTGAGAAGAAAGAGAAGAAGGGGAAGATAGTTGGGCAGGCATAAGCAGCGCCTGCAGCCTCACTGATAGCACATGACTGACAGGAATGCCAGGTCCCAGTGGAAGAAATGGGGAAGTGGGATGGAGAGTACTTGGCGTGATGCAGACGACGCAAGATCTACAGTGGAAGGGAAGTTGGCATAGTTGGAACACTCATATAAACAAAGTCCTGGCACAGATATTTGCCTTCACAAGCAAATGCACTGATGATGCCTGCAGATCCCTCAGTAACTGTCATAATTATATCCACTGAAATTATGACATCTGAAGTTTGGCTGTGTCTTGAAATGTTTTCGCAATAACCTTTAATCTGCAAAAACACTGTATAGTCATTATACATTATGATGCATGTATAATTCTTAAGCATTTTTACCAATGCTGTGCTGAATGAATGAAAGCATGAAAAAAATAAACATACCAGTAGCGTCAGAATAAAAGACTACTAAAGTTACACAAGAATATAACCCACAAATATAAAGTTTGGAGTTGTTCCTCAGCACTCAGCCCTAGTTTGGCACAATCCTCAATAGTTTTTGTCTCAAAGAGGCATTTTTATTCCCATCTTCAATAGTGGCCATGCTGTGAGCACATCCAGTGGGCTGATCCATCCCTCTCCTCTTTTGCGGCTTAGGGGAGACAATTGGGGGATTTGTTTTGATGTGTCTGTTTCAACATAAACTTGTACATGAGCGAGCGATGTGTCAGAGTTGTCTATATTTTCTCTATTCCATCAGTCGATGACATATTGTAGGTAAACTGGGGGGATTTACAGTCACGCATAATCCATCAATATCCATCCACCACATTTCCGCTAGTGTCACCAATCCCACATACAGTATGACATATTGGATGAGTGACAGGCAGAAGTGGACCATTCGGTCTCACTTAGCTTGGCTTGACCTGATAGCTTGAATAAAAAATCAAAAAACAACACTGTCAACAACAGCTGAACTGAACTGAGCAGCAGTGGAGATCACAAGTTGTTGGTTAAGGCTGGGATAAGAGTGAAAACTGTGATAGACTGTGTCATCTTTCTTTGTTTTTACATCTCAAGCTGCAGCTTCAGCTCCATTTGTTTAGTGTGTCTCAGCTCAATATGTGCAAATTTTATCTATCTCTCCTGTTTTTCTCTCTATGATGCAGTCTGGAACTGTACAAGTGATGAAAAATAAATAGGACACAGTACACAGTGGTCCTCTAATTTCACACTGGCTCAAAGCTGATGGTGGTGCTAATGCAAATGCATCTGCATTTTCTATGGGCGTCCATTTTTTTAGCTTGCGCCTGTTTGGTGATTTTGTGGCTCCAATGAAAATGCTCCTGTCACGGTGGGTTGAGGTGAGGTTGTGGCGTGCAGTAGGTGGCACAGTGCAATTTTGGTATTCAGTAAAACAGTACAGTTATGGGCCAGAAAGACAAAACAGTGAGTTGAAGGAGGCTATGAATCTCTGTACAATTGCAGAGTCAGGGGACAGTTCTCTCTTCACTATAAGCAATCCATTTCACATCCCACTGCACATAGCTGCTTCATCCATTGTAAATATATATGTTACAACAGATGATATTCTGTATGACTTACTATATATAGCACTTATAACACTGTTATGTATACACAAACATATAACAGCTTTAAAAAAAAAACAAATTGAAAGATGTACAAAATGTTTGTACATGTTTTAAATGATGTGCTAGAAAGTGAGCTTGGAAAGCTTTTAAGCTCTCAGTGCTGTTCCCAGTAATCAGCGTCCCTGTGAAGCTGTGGGGCATGATCATTTAAAATGGTCATTTTGTGTTATGTGGCAGTAAAAACTTGCTAAATGCACCTTTAAATAGTGGGACTCATTACTGTTCAACTGATGTGTGAATTAAACCCTCTAAATCTCAAACCTCAAACCCTTTGTGTTATTTCATTTCCAAAGGAATATGCAAAACACACAAAACCTTTATAGCTCTGGGCTCAGGCAACCAAAGGACAGGATTAAGAACTTGATTCTCTCCTGTCCTTGTCTCTCCCACAGCCAGACTTCCTAATCAGCGCTAAAAAAAACCTGGCAAATGCAATACCCCGTTACTCAGCAAACTCTCCCTCAACTCTTTCTTTCACCACATACACAAGATTATGTCATGTTATGTTGTCCTACTGAGCAGCATACAGACCTCCCAATAGATTATACTTTGGCTGAACATTGACAAAATCAAACATTTTCAATTGGAATCCACAATATAATTAATTTGTTTTTGGTCAGACTATTGGTCATTCCTTTAGGTATTTTGGGGAAACACTCATTAGTAATACAGATCATTCTTTGCAAGTTTACAAAATCTTAAAATAGATAGATTAAAGATTAAGCCATTGTATCAAGTATATTGCCTGGTCCTTCACCACTGTGCACTTGGGAACCAGGACTGGTTTGATTAATTAGTTGCATAATACAGTATCTAATATAATAACACATTTTCTGCTGAATAGCATCAGTTGAATTGTTATCGTCATTGTTCATTATGCACTCAGTATGCATTTTAGGCAAAAGCCAACATGATTTAAGTGATCTGAAATAGATGCCTTGAAACAGAACATCCATTTAAAAAGTTATCATTATTCACCGTAGAGATAGCCCATTAAATCAGGCCGAACATTTTACAGTGAAATGGAATATGCAAAAGAACATGCCATATGATGCGTAAAGCACCAGTCCAAATGACTAATGCAAAGATATCAGATTAATTACCAAATTAAAACTGCTTTTGTATGGGAGAAATTAAGTCCGGGCCACAGTGGGAGGGGATTGAAATAAAAAAGAGAATCTCAAGAGAAGCTGAAGTTTTGACACATTTATCCATCATACGGTACATCCAATGCGAAAAGGACACGTCTGTGTTAACCTCTTGTTTGAAAAGTTGTCAAATGCATATTAGAGGAAAGAGGGAAGCTTAAGCTTTGACAAATGTTCATGTTACAGATTCCACTTTCTGGGTGGCCAAATATAAAGTTTAGGCATCCCTGTGTTCTCAGTTAAAAACAGATTCCTTGATTTGGTATAAAACACAAGCACTGTCTCTTTTTAAGTCAGCCTGCCAATCTGAGTCAAACAGCCAATCATGTACCGCACAATTCAGGGAGGAACCCAAAGCGACCACTCATATTTCAAGGGTAAATAATTCCACCCCTCCCATTGCTTGGCTCTGCCCTACATAACACCTTCTATACAGGGGTGTGAGCTGAGATGCCTAGTTAGTATTCTGAATCACAAACCCAAAGGCACAATGCCTGTCTGGTTATCTGTTTACGTCTGGGGTTGCTTTCTGTTTGTCTAAGTCTCCATCTCTCCCCTCCTACCATCTTTGTAGCGCTGTGGAACTAGCTCAGCCACACTCTATGAGATGCAAACAATGCTTTGTAAATCTGTTTGTGTGAACATGGCGTTGAATTGCTGAATGAATGACAAACAATGTGAGATAATGACGCGCTTTGAGTATGTGTTCGTGTGAGTATCTCCAATGAGGGAAATCGGAGAACAAGAGCTTGTATTTATGTATGCGTGGGTTGGTTAAGTTTCAAAAGGGGGAAATATCTCAAAAGAGAAACCCAGATGTGTGTGTGGATGGGGGCACATATGACAGCTTTCTCGAGTGTGTGTGTTTATATCCTGCAGCCAGTGTGTGTATAAGCAGCGGATATAGACTGAATGCATGTTTCCCCCCACTGCTCCAGAGCTGTCTGTGACTACCCAGCTGCTTTTAACACATGTTACAGTCACAGAGAAAACACACCTCTGAGTCTGGGGGATGACGAAGGGGTTGGGCGCACTGCCTCATAACTAATCACCATCCTGCCTGTTAATTAGCGTGAAGAAAAATGAAGGATATGTTGAGTGCAATGGGAGGGAAGAGAGGTTCAAGGAGGAGAGAAGGGGATGGGGATGTGATCATGTCAACCAAACTTTTCATTTACCTTCTGACGCCCATGCATATTCCACATGCCCCATAAAATAACTGCATCTGAGCTATAACTGATGAGGCAGAGGGGAGGTGCAATCACTAACTGGTAGTGAGAACTCAGGGTTGATCACTTACCAACCAGCTAACTCAGGCTTTGAACTTACTTTTGGTTTCACAGTATCTGATGGCCACTGTTAGTTTTAACAAGATAAAGATAAGATAACGGTTTGTGCTGGTCTTTAATTGATATAATACAATAAAAAATTAGAAAGAGACTTGAGTAATCCAAGTTAGTGTAAAGTTCATGCTTGACCTTGGAAACAGCAGTTCCAGTTTTTTCCAGGGAAACTCTGCCCAGCCAAGAAATAGCTGCACACATACAACCCCCCATTAAGGGACAATATGTAGTTTTTACACATCCGGTTTTGTATGGATTGAAGAAACAAGACATAACGTGTTAATTAGTGAGCTTTATTGTTGGGTGGATTTGGTTACCACTGGACAGAACCAGTCTAACTGTTTCCGTCTTCATGCTAAGCCTTAGCTTCATCTTTACTGTGCAGATATGAGAGTGGTATCAATTTAATCATCTCACTCAGCAAGAAAGCAAATAAGTCTTCTTAAATAAGGACTTTTCGTTCATGCTGGCTCATAATCTGAGGTTCAGGGGTCATTCTTTACCTCAGAAATTGTGCTCAGTCTACTACAATGTACATCTACAATCCATGACTGGACAAAGATCTCCAGAACAGATACTAAATGGACCTCGTGGGGAGATTGTTTTCTAAATTGAGTAATTTATCAATGATCCACCCAGAAGCATCTAACAAACAG